AGTTATGAAGAAGCAAAAAACTTTTCTGGTTGGGGTCACAACTGTAGTAAAGGGTCGTAGCATTAGGAAGGCTGAGAAGCGCTGCTCTCAACAAGTCTACCAAAGAGCATTTCCTGACACCTGCGCCTGATAAACCGCTTCCCTATTGGAGGCTGGTCCTCCGACTGTGAGGTCCAGGAGGACTCTGTCCCAGGCAAGCCAAGCTTTCCAGACAGCCTGCTTCCTCAAGGACTTCTGCCTGGGAGGGTCTGGCGCTAGCTACTCCTAGAGAAAAACTTTTTGCAAGCTTCCTACTTCCCCGGCCACCAATTGTCCAGGCTCGGCCTTCAGGACAAAGGTTGTTAGGTAACAGAACGACTATCCCCAGCACGGTCATCAATGTTGTCTGCTGCTTTAGAAAGGGATCTCTCAAACTTGGAAGGCACTTCTTTTAAATTTGGGGATTTCTGAATATTTAAGGGTAAAAGTGAACTAAATGTAACAGCGGCCTTAACTAGAATAAAGTTTGGGCCCAACACATGGAAATACAAAACCCATAAGCCTAAGCGACATTAAATCAAAAATCAACAGAGCAAGTTGTCCCTCTTTGCCGGGACGAGGGAGTGCACCGAGACGGCTGCAAGCCACAAGTAAATAGCGAAATGGCTTCCTAAATCCCAGACAAAACGCTTCACAACTTGGCCATGTGAAAAACAGGAGGCAGACTTTCATCAAAGGCAAAGCAGCCGTCTCTCGAGCTCGCTGTCTGGTCTAAGCCACCATTATTCACGGCACAAAGCTCTCGTTTCACTAAAACCACTCCTCGATTTCCTCTCGCCGACCTCCGCATACCAGCGGCCCAGCCACTCTCCATTCAGCGCTCAGGCCCGGGGGGGGGGGGGGGGGGGGAGCCCACAGATGTCTGGAGACCCGAGCCCGAGACAAAGCTGCCCCGCAGCCCGGCGGCGCAGCGGAGCGGGCCTGGGGCGCCCAACTCCGGAGCGTCCGTCCCAAGTCCGGTCCCCGAACACAACACTCGGAACGAGTCGGACCGCTCGCCCGCCCGCCCTCCCGCACGGCCTGGCGGTCCGCGCCCAGAAAAGGCACACTTGGAGCGGACCCCTTACTAAGTAGCTCGCGTTAAGGCTAAGGAGGAGCCCCCTCCCCCTACTCCCGGCTTCCGAATCCTGAGCACCCGCCACCAGGAGTGGCCGTCGCTCTCCCACGATCCCCCCCCAAATCCCGCCAGGGTCTCGGCCCCGCCGCCACCGACCCCACGCGAGTCCAGGACGCGCCGTCCTCCGAGGACACGCTCCTGACGCCTCCCGCCCGCTGCACCCAAGAGTTTGGCGACTCCACGGCTTTAAAGTTGTTTGGATTCAAACTCACACAGTCAGGTCGTTGCGAGAAGAGGGAGAGAGAGAGAAAGAGATCTATCTATACGTTCTCCACGACGGAAGGAGGCGACGCGCGCCAGTCCGGCGTCCCCTGTGCGCGGGGGCGGCCCGCACCCCCGTTGTCCGCGG